CCATGGGTTATGCAAATATGCATACTCAGATGGTATTTATTTAGGACAAATAAACTTGTGAATTATGTAAGGACTGTGGGTTCCTCGGCTCTCTTTAAGAAGGCACACCCCTGCCCTGGCTGGTGTCGCTCAGTTGGTTGAGCATCTTCCCATGCACTAGGAGGTTGCCGGTTCGTGGATGGGAACAGGAGAAACAGACTGGGGATAACTTAAGCAGGAGAGGAAGGTAATGGAACAGAAGGCTAGCTCAAAGAAGTGATATGAGGAGCCCAGAAACCCAGGCTTGGGAACAGTGGGAACCAGGGAGGCTAGAACCACTGGCAGGAGTGGAGCTGGGAGCAACTGGCCAGGAGGACCTCTGGCCACCCCTGGGCGCCTTTCACAGCCACCAGGGGAAGGAGTCCCGAACTCTTCTGCCTGCTCACATCACTCAGTCCAGACCTAGAGGCAGGTGTGTGGCTGGCTGGGCTTGGTCTCCCATGCAGGTCCCGCAGCCTCTGGCAGGAGCTGAAGGTGCATGAAGGTGCAGGAGGTACCAGGGCTTCTGCTGGGAGATGGATCTTACATCATCCCCAGAGCTGGCTGTTGAGGATGCCTGAGGGTCCTCTCCTGGGATTCTCCTCTCTGACCCCATCCTCGACACACACTGCCAAAGCACCCCTCACCCTCCCAGCCCTTTCCCCTCACCCAGGCACTGGTTTCAGCTTTGCCTAGTTCCATATGGACTTGCTCTGCTGAAAGATGGCTTCCTCACGAGCCTGCCTGGGCATCAGCAAGTCCTGTCCTCATTGTGCAGATGCTCTCCTCCTCTGTGCAGCTGTGATCTGCCTTGAGGGCAACGATCAACTTACAAGTCTGTCTTCCCCTAGAACAGTGGTTCTCAACCTTGGCTGCACATTAGAATCACCTGGGAATCTTTTTTTTTTTTAAATATATTTTATTGATTTTTTACAGAGAGGAAGAGAGAGGGATAGAGAGTTAGAAACATCGATGAGAGAGAAACATTGATCAGCTGCCTCTTGCACACCTCCTACTGGGGATGTGCCCGCAACCAAGGTACATGCCCTTGGCCGGAATCGAACCTGGGACCCTTCAGTCCGAAGGCCGACGCTCTATCTGCTGAGCCAAACCGGTCAGGGCGGGAATCTTTTTAAAATCCTGATTTCTGGGCCTCATCCTCCAGAAATTCTGCTTCTTTGTTACTAATGTTGTGGCCCCACCCCATAACAAAGAAACAGAATTTCTCGAGGATGAGGCCCAGAAATCAGGATTTTAAAAAGATTCCCAGGTGATTCTAATGTGCAGCCAAGGTTGAGAACCACTACCCTAGAACAGTGGTCGGCAAACTGCGGCCCCTTGAGTGTGGCTCTTCCACAAAATACCATGTGCAGGCGCGCATATACAGTGCGATTGAAACTTCGTGGCCACACTCAAGGGGCCAAAGAGCCACATGTGGCTCGCGAGCCACAGTTTGCCAACCACGGGCCTAGAATAAGGCAGGTGCCTTGGTAGCAAGAAACTTGGCTTAGCAGCCCTTGTGTCCCCACAGCTCTCAGCATGATGACTTTAGAAAGGAGACACTTCATAAAATGGCTGATACATGAAAGAACACACCACCGTTCCAGGCTCCTTGAGAGGCAGGGGATGGTTACTCCAATTCTGCAGGGGAGGCGGCTGAGTCCTGGGAGTGAGGCAGCGGCAGAGCTGGAAGAGAGCCCTTGGCCTCCCCTTGGGAGTGAGATGTGGGCTGAGATGGGGACTGGTAGAGTGCCCACCGTCATGTATCCTCAGGGGAGTGGCCAGGGGAGGGCTTAGCTAGGCATGACCTCATCCTTTCCGAGGGGCTGGCATATTCTGCCCACCCCCACGGGGCCAATGGTCATGCTCAAACCCTCAATCTCAGAGCACCCTGGGCAAGCACCACACACCATGGACCACTAGGTGGTGCCAAGTGGTCGGTCAGTCCCTTCCCAGAGACCTGGACGATCCTTTGTTGCCTTGTTGGGGCACATGGATGGATACCTCAGGAGCTGGGAGCCCAGGAAGAGCAGAGAGGAGGAGGTTCCTTTGTTGAGGAGCTTGCGCCTGGTATAAGTTGAGTACCTTATGGTTTGTGCTCATTAGCCCTCTGGTTTTTTCACAATAACCCCGAGAAGACGGGGGAACATTATCCCCACCTGAAGGGGAGAGAAAACTAATTAGTCTCTCGAGAGATTAGGTGACTTGGCCAAGGCTACACTGCAAGCTGGGTCTGGAACCCAAGTCCCAGGATCCTGGGGGTTTTTAGCAGAAGGCCCTGAAGTCAGATACTGGCTTCCCACTTCCCGTGTGACCTTGGACATGCTGCCTAAACCCTCAGCCCCAGTTTCACCATTAGTGAAATGGTAACAGCTGACCAATGAAGTCAGGGCAAGAGCTGGATGGGGCCAGGTGTGCGGAAAACCCTCCTGGTTAGCTCTCTTTGTCCTTCATTACTTACCTAAAGTGGCCATCCTGCACCCTCCTCCCCATCTTACCCTTTCCCTGCCTCCCGAGTGGCCTGGAGAATAACAAAAAGAATTCACCGAGCCCAGATTAAGTGACTGCTTTCTTTCAGTCTTCCAGAAGACACAGGCTGTGCCCACCCACTAGGAGGTAGGGGAGAGTGAAGTTTTCCCCTCTCTGTCTCCAAACAAACATGAGGTCTCAGCCCTGATCTGTGAGTGCATTTGTCACAACTGCCCCTCTTTTTTCCTCTCTTCTTCCTCTTCTCCCTCTTCTCCTTCTCCTTCTCCTTCTTCTTCTTTTTTGTTAGTCCTCACCCGAGGATATTTTTTCCATTGATTTTTAGAGAAAGTAGAACGGAAGAGGAGAAACAGAGAGAGAGAGAAACATCGATGTGAGAGAGACACATTGATTGGTTGCCTCCTACGACTGGGCCAGGGATTGAGTCTGTAATCGAGATACGTGTCCCTGACAGAAATCAAACCCGAGACCCTTCAGTCCGAGGACTGAGACTCTATCCACTGAGCCAAACCGGCTAGAGTTCTGTCCCTCTTCTTATCAAGCATGTATGAGGGCCATCTTTAGATCTACTTTACAGAGGAGGAGACAGACACAGGTGGGCAGCTCAAAGTCTCAAGGCTGATAGTGAGGCCACGGTGGACACCCAGTGTCTGAGGCTTCACCTCAATGTTCAGGGCCTTTGCAAAAAGGAGCATGGGCTGCCTTCTGGCCCCTAGCTTTGCCCCAGAAATTCCACACTCAAAACTCCATTTCTTTAGGATTCCAAGAGCATCACCCGCTGAGCCATAAACGGCTGGGAGGGGCCACGATGGAAGGGGAGAGGCTTGGAAGGAGACACTGAATAGGGAAGTGAGTGAATTCCAGGTACCAGACAAGCCCTGCAGGGTGGGCAGTGACCATGCCTCTCACCCCTGGCTCCAGCTCCCTCCTTTAGCCTCACGGTCTCCCGGCAGATACTTC